TTCCTCTGATATTCCTGTAATATTTCTATGATATTGCTCTACCTTTTACCCTGTTTCCGCCCTACCCCTGTAATCAATAAAGTTCTCCTTGTGACCGGTGTGGGAGACTTATTGAGGGGTGGGTCTAAATTATGCCGAGGAGGCCCCTTAGGTCGGTGGACTAAGGGAGAGTTTCGTAAATAGCCCCTGACTTGGGGAAGTGCCCCAAGTGCTTGTATTGGGTCTAGTACCCATTGGACGATCAGGCCTGTGTTTTCCAAGGTGCGCAGAGCCAGAAGTGAGTCCAGAGCCTTGGATGGTGGCAGCGGGACCCCCAGGCTAGCGGGTGTGCTCCAGGGAAGGGGTCGGCCGGACGGGAGGCACCCCAAGGGAGGCACTCGGGGCCTGGAAGGTGGTCGGGCGCAGGGAGGTGGGCGGCTCAACGCAGGAGCGCTCCCTACAGGCCCGCCACAGTATATATAGGGACAGACAGACTGCATCTGGGTACAGGGATTGTTCAGGATGTGGGGGCATGAGCAGGCAGAGCTGTGGCAGGCTGTGTTCACCCAGCTCCTGTCACATGTTTTCACAGGACTTCATGAAGAGCCTGACACTAGCAAACAAACACTTCTGGATCGGCCTGTCCGTTCCCTCCCCAGAGAAAGGCTGGACCTGGCTGAACGGCTCCCAGCTCAATCCAGCTGTGTGAGTGTTTCCTGTTCCAAAATTAACTTTCTCTTTCAGCAGAAAGTGGCAGGGAAGTGGGGGAGATTTTGGAAAAAAATCCCAGTCATCCTGGGATACCAGTCTGCTCTATTTAGGAGATATTGGACATCTGGGAAGAGGTGACACTGATGCTGCAGGGACTGGAGGAAGTGTTTCATAGTTTCATAGTAGTTTGGGGTCAGAAGGGACCTGAAGAGATCATCTAGTCTGACCGCCGCCACTGGCAGGAGCGCACACTGGGATCACACGACCCAGTTCCCTGAGGATCTAGTCAGGGAACTTCTGGAGGGACTGGACGTATTTAAATCAGCTGGTCCTGATGATCTCCACCCCAGAGCGCTGAGGGAATTAGCAGAGGTCATTGCGGGACCCCTGGCATGGCTTTACAAGCACTCGTGGTGCTCTGGTGTGGTGCCAGAGGACTGAAAAAGGGCCAATGTGGTTCCCATTTTCAAAAAAGGGAGGAAGGAGGACCCAGGAAACTATAGGCCAGTTAGTCTTACCTCGATCCAGGGTAAGCTGTTTGAGAGAATTATCCTGGCACATGTCTGTGAGGAGCCGGCAGGGGAGGTTATGCTTAGGGGCAGCCAACACAGCTTCATTAGAGGCAGGTCCTGTCAGACCAACCTGGTGGCCTTCTATGACAAGGTCACTAAAGCCTTAGATGCAGGGGTAGCAGTGGATGTAGTCTTTCTGGACTTCAGGAAGGCCTTCCACACTGTCTCTCACCCCCATTCTCATTAAAAAATTAGGGGACTGTGGCGTCGACACCTACACAGTCAAATGGGTCACTAACTGGCTGGAGGGCCGCACCCAGAGAGTGGTGGTGGGTGGGTCATTTTCGACCTGGAGGGATGGGGGCAGTGGGGTCCCCCAGGGCTCGGTCCTCAGGCCTGCACTGTTCAACATCTTCATCAGTGACTTGGACGAGGG